GCTGTCCGAAAACAGCCAAATTCGCAACTTTGGACTGCTCTAGCACGTGACCTAATTAACCTAGAGGGTTAATTTTTTCAGATTCTTAATGTGCTTTTCATGCTCTTTCAAGTGATTTATAACAAACATTTTTAAAGCAAAATTGAAATTTGTTAATTTTTCAAATTTGAGTTTTTTTTTTACAATATTTCTGTTTCTTTGAGCTTGGTGTGTATATATCTTATGACCTATTTTATGTAGAATATTGAAACTTGGAACACAACAAGACAATTTGAATATAAATTAACCTATGACAAAAAAGTTGAGGTGGGCGTGGCACATCCGGGTTGAATTACTAATTGTTTACATTTTGGGAAAGGGGCATAACTCGCATAGGATACATTTGTTCAAAAAGGAACTTTGCACACAATTACCTCATTATTTTGGCCAGTTTGTGATAATAGGTCAAATGTTTCAGCTTTACATTTCCAAAAAAGGAACGGGTTTTGAAATTTCCATATTTTCAATTTTCTATTTTGACCTTTATTGACTCTTGATGACCTATATCTTTTGACCTGTATGATGTAGAAGCTTTAAATTTGGAACACAACATAACATTCAGAATATCAATTAACCTATTCAAAAGAAATTGAGGTGGGCGTAGCACATCCGGGTTAAATTACTCATTATTGACAATTTTGGCAAGGAACTTAACTCGCAACGTATACATTTGTTCAAAATGGAACTTTGCATACAATTACTTCATTCGTTGAGCCACGTTGTCTTAGAAGTTCGATTGTTTCAGCTTTATAGTTCAAAAAAAGGAACAGGTTTTGAAAATTCTAAATTTTCAATTTTTGACCTTGACCTTTTTTGACCCTGATTTTTGTAGGATCAAAGGTCATTCACATTGGCTATCTATTTATACTTTTATATTTGCTGTCCTATCTCAACTCCCGGTTTTATAGCCGTATATATTTAAAAATTTTGATGACTTGTATCTCGTAACCTTGACCTTTGTTCACCGTCTCCCTTTCAATGTCAAATGTCATTGACCTTGGCTATCTTCTGATACTTTCATTTGTGAGGTCTGTCTACTTCCGTTGTAACAATCTTCCAAAGAATTCTTCTCAACTTTAGACTGCTCTTGCACGTGATGTAATTATCGTAGAAGGTTGATTTTTTCAGAGTCTTTTGCAATTTGCTACATTTGCAAAGTCCCACTCTGTGCCACGTGTGGCTCTAGTATATTCTTTTCTTTGGAACAAACATATATGCACCTGTAATAGCTGCTTCAAATCTTCAGTAAAATTTCAGCAAAGAGCTAAGTATGAAAAATGGTTTGAAGCCCTGAGACCTGATATATATTAGAAATCAAAATCAAGCCACAAACAGTCCACTTCATTCTTTGGTAGAATAACTAGTATATGAAACGAGGCCACATGCTGGAGTTGGTTATGAGGACAAAAAAAATGGCGGCAAGGTAAAAAAATTCGCTTTATTTTGTTGTTGTTGCAGAACTGTTCAACTTACCACAACAAAACAGTGGTGCCGATATACACTTAGTAAGGTCAGATTTAGAGGACTGTCAGACATGCACTAGTATACAGTCTTAACAACCATGATGATCAAATACAACATTGTTTAACAAATTATCTATGTTTCTTCAACCAAACAGAAGACACAACATTTATTCTTGACTATATTCATGTAATTCATTTTTAATGAATACATGAAAGAGATAATTATGCATGATAAATTGTTTAATTAATTATAAATTTAATCAATTACCAAACAGGTTCTTGCAGTTCTAGTCATTTCCTTTTGTATTCTATTTGGAAATAATTCAACATAGTAATTGCTGACATTTCTTTAATCATGACATGCCAAACTGATTCCTGATTTCTTTGAATTACATATATTTCAACATAGGGCAATAATTCTACAATCTATGCTCAAGTCATCTTCACATTGGTAAGCTATTGTATTACAGCCTTCAGCTTGTACCTCGACTTCAATAGCCACCTTTCTTGTATCAGGGAATGCATGCCCTCGTCAGAAAGTCTGTAAACATTTTGACATAGTGTTAACAAACTCTTTATCAAGGCCAATGATGGGCTGTGTTTGCTAGAGTAAAATCCAATCAAATCACTGCATTCACAAACTTCCCTGATACAAGAACTCTTAGAGCCCCGGTTCCCAACCTGGGTTGTTTTCACCCCCTGGGGTGTGGGACTAGGGTGTAAGGGGATGTGGTCAACTGGTGTATGAGAAGAGATTATTTTGAATTGAGAGAGCACCTCGCATCATCACATACTGGAAATGTGGATGGAACAAATTTTTGGGGGTGTGAAAGGTCCAGGGGTGTAAAGGCTGAAAAAGGTTGGGAACCACTGTATTAGAGTAAAGGTATAAGCTGAAGGTTGTAATAGCTTGACATTGTGAAGAAGCTAAATCTTGTGTCGCATGATAACCCTTATGACACAAAGCCACCAAATAATGACAGTCTTAATGTAAGGTGATGTAAAGATCAAGCATGCTGTAAAACTCAAAATAAAAGACATTTCAAAGGATTTTTCAAATGAGATAATATTTCCACATTTCCAAAATTCTTAAAGATAGCTTTAAGGAAACATACGCCCACTGGCAGCTGTCAGAAATAATTAAACAGTCTTCAGTGACTAAAGTACAAATTTTCTCATATTGAAGAAATTATTTATGCTGAATAATGCCACAAAATTTTTTAAAATCAATATCAATAACCCAATTACAACAAACAATTAAATCACACAGCTCTAATCAAGGGCAAAAAACAACTTTTGACGCATGTTTACAAAGTCAAGGGCAATAACTCAAAAAATGTTCATCAAAAATATCTCTTGTTAGAACTTGTCTGAGATCTTATCAATTCCAATGATCACACCAAGTTTCATCAGAATCGGTTGAAAACTGTGATCAATGATCACACCAAGTTTCATCAGAATCGGTTGAAAACTGTAGCTTCTATTGTGCTCACGAATAAATTTTGACGCGTTTTTACAAAGTCAAGGGCAATAACTCGAAAACCGTACATCAAAAATTCATCAAGTTAAAACTTGTCCGAGATCTTATCAATTCCAATGATCACAACAAGTTTCATCAGAATCGGTTGAAAACTGTAGCTTCAATCCTGCTCACAAACTATTTCCACGCATTTTATCAAAGTCAAGGGCAATAACTCAAATAGAGAAAAACCTCAAGTCAGACACGATATTTCGGTGAAAAATTATCCGATCATCACAAAAATCAATAGGGATCATCTTCATAATGACATTGACACACAAAATAAAAATCAAAAGAATCTGTAAAAAATTGTAGCCTGTAGAGTGAGCACGAGTTGCACAATATAGCTAAATAGAGTAAAACGTCAAGTCAGACACGATATTTCGGTGAAAAATTATCCGATCATCACGAAAATCAATAGGGATCATCTTCATAATGACATTGACACACAAAATAAAAATCAAAAGAATCTGTAAAAAATTGTAGCCTGTAGAGTGAGCACGAGTTGCATAATATAGCTAATAGAGAAAAACGTCAAGTCAGACACGATATTTCGGTGAAAAATTATCCGATCATCACGAAAATCAATAGGGATCATCTTCATAATGACTTTGACACACAAAATAAAAATCAAAAGAATCCATAAAGAACTGTAGCCTGTAGAGTGAGCACGAGCCAAATGTGAATGGACGGACCGACGGGGTGATTACAACATACGCCCATCTTACGTGTGGGCGTATAAAAAATTGTAGCCTGTAGAGTGAGCACGAGTTGCACAATATAGCTAATATAGTAAAACGTCAAGTCAGACACGATATTTCGGTGAAAAATTATCCGATCATCACGAAAATCAATAGGGATCATCTTCATAACAACATTGACATACAAAATAAAAATCAAAAGAATCCATAAAGAACTGTAGCCTGTAGAGTGAGCACGAGCCAAATGTGAACGGACGGACGGACCAACGGGGTGTTTACAATATACGCCCATCTTATGTGTGGGCGTATAAAAAAATTAGCCCTAATTCAGGGTCTGTGACATCTCTAAATCCATCACTTATCAGTGATCAAATGGTTAAGTGTCAAAGATATTTATTATCTTGAAATCTTACACATGTAAAGTTGTTTTACATCTAAGCCATCAACAACTACATGGTTTTTCTTGCCTTGGGGGCATGTGTGCTACAGGCTGTGCACTTTAAAGATCCATCGACAGTTGGAAATCGAAAAAGAGCAGGCTAATGCTGCTGTCCTGGCAAAATTTTCCTCATTGCACCCTGCATGAGTTGCCCATCTTTGTTAGCCCACATGGTGCAGAAAGGTAGGACGTAAAACTCCATTCTTTTCATTTCATTTTTGCCTTGGGGGCAACTTCGATATATTATGTTCGATCAATTATATAACAACTATCAAAATTTTCTATCAGTTGAACAAGGTCGTATGTTCTGAAACAACACTACACTTAACAATTTTCAAATTCAAACAATTTCAAATTTGTCAATATAAAAAACAAAGTCTCTTTTCTTTGAAATCTAGTCTAGCTTTATTCTACTTAATTTGGTTAACAGATGGGCAATTTATTACTAGAGGAGTAGAGATGAATATAATGTTGGAATGCTATAAAAGGGGCATACTTCACTTCACAGCCAAAGATTTCTTTTTGTTTCAGAAATTGCTTGACTACATCCCTGAAAAGATCCTTACTTTGGAATATTTCCTTGGAAGGAATGTGTTCTTATCTCTTCTTATACTTGTAAAATATGGTCACAAGAGTGTCAGTCAAATTCTTTAATAAGGCATCTCAGATGGAACTTTCATACAAATTAGTTCAAAAGTGGCTTTGTTAGATATTCTTTTAATATCTGCTCAAACAGATCATTCTAAAAATTTGATGTAATCTAAGACTTTATATAAAGCCAGGCCTACTTATTTCATGCAATAAGTCTGAAATAAAGATCTGTTTCATAGCATACTCACCATCAGGGAATAAATAATGTAATAAAGGTAATTTGGCTGAATGTTTCCTCCATAATCTTAATACATAGTCTTCCCATCGAACCATTTTACCTAATATTAACATGACTGGTATTGTAGGTAGTCCTATTAATAGAAACAGTGGGTCTGCTCTCTCCATTACATTTAATCCTTCTTTGTGTCCTAAAACCTGCAAAATAAGCAAAAACACTCTACAATGTGTTAAGACTGCTTAATGTCTTACTTTGATATTCAGCGATGTACCATGTTTATAACTGGTTAAAATACCACGTTATGCAAAATCAATCTTTACCAAAAACAATCAGTCACTTAAATAGACCATATTTAGTATAATATTTGGAATCATTAATCACCAAATACAAAAGCAAAAGCAATGCCATATTATAAATTTTATTTTCAATAGAGACTTTTCCATTACGGATAACACATTTTAGATTAACATTGTTTTTTCAATGATAAATCGTTCCAAAACAACACAACAATCCTCATTCATATAATTATCATCACAAAAACCGATTCTGGATCAGATGTCAATATTTTTTTTTCAAATTAATGCCTACCTGCATAACAGTAACCGCCCCATAAGTTACTGCTGTCCAATATACAGATCCAATAAATATTCCACCTGCCACAAAAGGACATGTTTTATATATAATCTTATCTGCTATATCCATTATGTAAACAACAGGACCTATAGTGAGAAGAGAGATACAGTCAAGTAACCTAATTTCGTGGAAACCTATTATTCGTGGATTTCCGGAAAGGATTAATAATTTACATGAGCGACCTTGCGCGACCTCCGCATTAGTTTGTTTTGATAAATATGGGTTTTATCTACAATATCAGCTAGTAGAATGAATCCAGTAGTTTCAAGCAAGGTAAAATGTAATAATGTATACTTTGACAAATACAAAGTGGCAGATTTCACTTATTACCAAACGATACCATTTTTTATCAGCCGAATTTCCTTATAATCCCAAGCGGTAATCGGAACTCCAAGTGTCGTCTGCTAGATTATATTCCAATGAATGAAGTCACCTGATCAACTAGCGGATTCCGTTTCAGCAGAAAATTTCTATGGAACACAAAGTGGACCGTATTCTTATGTTGTTTCAGTGACTTTTAGCAATAAATCACGCTACGTGTCTTATTTTGTCAGTCACTATTTTTTTTTTGTGACACTAGTTATAATGAATTGATATTAAAGATAAATACTAAGAGAGGTTAATTATACCACCCGGTATCCATACAACGTGTTTTTCTAGACTTATTTATAGATCAAACATTGTTCACGAAAATAGGTGACGCATTTTGACGCCGTTGCCGAGTTGGTTGCTCATGAAATATGGGTCCAAATGAAGGATTCATAAAGAAAATCGAAATAAACCAATTCATATTATTTTGTAGAATATCTGAGGAAACATCTAAGAAATAAAATTTTTTTTTCGTTTTTTTAACTTTGACGAAATTCAGTGTTGAATCCTTATATCCACGAAAATAGGTTACATCACTGTACAAATTTTTAGATATGATTCCAAAAAATATAAGGCATCAATTGTTAGGGACCAATATTCATATGATCAAATGTATCTTAAGCATAAATCTATGCTATAAATTTAGATGGTATGATATTATGAAAGAAGATCAGTACATGATGTTGAAAAAAGAAATTCAGGCCTGAATGATTGAAATTTTGATGGTGAAATGTATCATTTTTCATACTCTTTAAAAACAAGAGTAAATATCAGAAATAAAAACATTTTTAGCTGTCAATAAACAAATTGGATTGATAAGCGTAATACAAGGGGTGTAATATCCAATGCTTGTGTCCAATTACAATACCTCTCCTATATTAAAGCTCTAAAAAGAAGATTCTTACCTAATTTGGGGAAAATAATCAAATATTCTGCATTACATTGTGGACAAACAACCTTAGTTGTACTGTTTCCCTTTTGTTTTTCATCTATCCATCTTTGTAAACAGCTTTGATGTACCCATTTAGTTGTACCTTTACATCTACATGGTCTGACCCATGATACATCTCTATCATCCTCTTCAGTAGCAAAACATACCCAACATGCATTCCTAAAATAAGATTATTTCATAAAAAATTTGTAAAGCTTAAATCGATTGGTATTGCTGCAGAAAGCATCCAATATTACACACATGACTATATGGAAACACTAAAGTAACACTGGTAACAAATATGTCTAAATAAGAAATGTGGGAAAATTATTATAGATGTTGCAAACTCAGATGCTTATAAATATGATTCATCGAGAAGGCCAACATATTGAGTGAAAGTCCCTTCTGGATTAGGAATTAAAGAATGCATTCTGCACCTATACTTACAGTGACAAAAATCTTAATGTTACTATTGTTATCGATCATTAATTTGAAATATGCTGAAAATACTATTTATACTATATGGTACTCTGTAATGTAAAATGTACACACCTTTCTTCTACTGATGTCCTTCTCTGTTCCATTATTTCTGTAATTGATGCTTTCAAACCTTTGGAAACCTGTAACAGAAATCATTTCCATCAAACTTCTATATTTCTAGTTCTTAATGAAAGTTTCAATTGACATTGGACCAGCAAGGCTACTCATAATTTATTTTAAATTGAAATATCAAAAAAATAGTATCTTACAGTTTTAGCAAATCCCATTTGATGATTTTTTTCAATCTGAATATAGATATTACATTTTGCAATTTTCTGCTCAACATGTGGGTCATTTGTGGCAGTGTGTCCTTGGATTGCAGTGAGTTATCATTGGATGGCAGTGTGTCATCATTGAATAGCAGTGTGTCATCATTGAATAGCAGTGTGTCATCATTGAATGGCAGTGTGTCATCATTGAATGGCAATGTGTCATCATTGGATGAAGTGTTATCAATGGATGGCAGTGTGTCATCATTGGATGGAAGTGTGTCATCATTGGATGGCAGTGTGTCATCATTGGATGGCAGTGTGTCATCATTGGATGGCAGTGTGTCATCATTGAATAGCAGTGTGTCATCATTGGATGGAAGTGTGTGATCATTGGATGACAGTGTTATCATTGGACAACAGTGTGTGATAATTGGATGGCAGTGTCTCATCATTAGATGGAAGTGTGTCATCATTTAATGGTAGTGTCATCATTGGATAGCAGTGTGTCATCATTGGATGGAAGTGTGTCATCATTGGATGACAGTGTTATCATTGGATGGCAGTGTGTCATCATTGGATGACAGTGTTATCATTGGATGACAGTGTGTCATCATTGAATAGCAGTGTGTCATCATTGGATGGAAGTGTGTCATCATTGGATGGAAGTGTGTCATCATTGGATGACAGTGTTATCATTGGATGGCAGTGTGTCATCATTGGATGGAAGTGTGTTATCATTGGATGGCAGTGTGTCATCATTGGATGGCAGTGTGTCATCATTGAATAGTAGTGTGTCATCATTGGATGGAAGTGTGTCATCATTGGATGACAGTGTTATCATTGGATGGCAGTGTGTGATAATTGGATGGCAGTGTCTCATCATTAGATGGAAGTGTGTCATCATTTAATGGCAGTGTCATCATTGGATAGCAGTGTGTCATCATTGGATGACAGTGTTATCATTGGATGACAGTGTTATCATTGGATGGCAGTGTGTGTTCACTGGATGGCAGTGCATTATCAATGTATGGCAGTGTGGCTTCAATAAATGGCAGTGTCCCATCATTCAATTGCAGTTTGTCATCATTTGATGGCAGTGCATGATCATTGGATGGCAGTGTGTCATCATTGGATGGCAGTGCATGATCATTGGATGGCAGTGTGTCATCATTGGATGGAACTGCATTATCAATGGATGGCAGTGTGTCATCGTTGGATGGCAGTGTGTGATTATTGAATGGCAGTGTCTGATCATTGAATAGCAGTGTTTAATTAGAGGGAAGTTCAATGTACTGAAAAATTACTTGGATGGTAGTGTGTGATCATTGGATGGCAGTGTGTGATCATTGGATGGCAATGTTTCATTAGGGGGAAGTTCAGTGTACTGAAAACTTACCAAAACTAAAAATATTTTTATGGACCAGAACTTTTCAGAAGACTCTCAAATTTGAAATCTTGGAAATCGCAGTTTTCTTACGCAGTCGGTATTTCAATTCGAATACAACAATAATTGACAAAATGCAGTCATCCAAATGTAGTCAGATAGTAGTTTCTAAGACTAAAGGTCCGTTCACACCAAAAACGTCACGCGGAACGCGACGTCGAAAAAAAACGCGCATTCAACCCCCCAAAAATAAGATCAATGGATAATCAATAAAAGGCTCAGACCAGAGACGCGCGTTATGAAATGACGCACGTTCAACTTCTGTAGTTATTCAGCGCGTTTTGCGCTGCGTCTTTTCTCCCTGCGCATGCTCAGTGCAAGTTGGCACGCCACGTGTTTGAGCCACTGTTCAGAGCCTCGAGGTAATTAGTGTCGGACTTCTGTATATCGGCTTCTATGAGACCAAGAAACGTGCTCAAAATGCCATGGGGTCATTCTGAAGTACTGCAAGAATTTGTCTTTGTAGGTGTGCAGACTTTTAACCAAGTGATGATATTCGCCGAACTTCTTTCTTTTTATAAAAATATCATGGACCCAAATCGAACGCTGTCCTTTTCATTTTTTGTTCTTTAAGTAGACATAAAATGCCAAAACATCGCCAATGTCATCTGCATCCGCCATCTTGTAATTTGCTGATTCCTCAATGCAGCGTTTCACGCTGTGTGTGTGATCCCCGTCATGAGAGAAAAACACGGCGTTCAATGCGGCATTTAACGTTGTGTTGAACGCCCGTTTTGGTGTGAATGGACCTTAAGGCAAGAGTGGACAAAGGCTGTGAATTATTTTTTTATTTCTTAATTGTTGTGAATTCCCCTTTGCCTATTTGGATTTTTCACTGTTTGACCAGTTACATCGTACTGGTTGTAAACAGCCTAAGCTAGGTACATTCTACCAATTTAAAAGATTATGACAATGACCATTTGTATTTAGCTCTTGACACACTTACCTCTAGGCTACTGAAAAAAAACCACAAACATAAAATTTTTAGAAAAGGAAAATACTGACGAAAAATATCGGACAGTTCTCATCACCGGAAGTGGAATTACGGTGAAGGTCACAGGGAGCTATCATTTCTGATCAAAACTTTTTTTTGACTTTTCTATATTTCGACAGACCATTTCCAATGTTTCAATAATGATCAAAAGAATATAATATATAGAAATAGAGTTTCAATTAGTTTTTATACATATATTTATGAATCTATTTCCTTTCTTGTATTATTGATATCGCATTCATCGATTACTCCTTTTCCGTATTTTTAGTCTAGGGAAAAGTTGCCTATTCCGTCCATTTCTGTTTGGTGGTTACGTTCTATCTGTATCTAATATGTAACCAAAGATGTTAAGCGCTTCAACATTAAAATGACCGGAAAATAAAACGATTTTTATTGATAATATATTTTAGAAGATGTGGTTAATTTCATCGTTCATATTGAATCAAATCAAATCATTTCATCGTCCATACCGATCAAATCGATAGAGGGGTCGCAGTATTAGGTTGTTAACTGTCAGAACAATTTTTGATGGTGGGTGTTGATACTGGTTTCATTCATGAGTTTATTCTCTGAACTTTCTATCGTTTTTGTTCTCCTTTGATACTCGTAACTTTTAATCTAGATACTGTCATTTCCCCCACGGTTAAAGTTCAAAGTCGGCCAAAATTCTTGAAGCTACACAATCAAATTTGTTCTGCTTTCAGTAAAACAGACCAGGAACGGGGTGGGGCTTCTAGTAGTGGGTCAAAAATATCCTAAAACGTTACTATCCACACTTCTTTAATATTCACAGAAGTAGATATCAGTACCTACATAACCCACGTAACTTGCGAAAACTTTTGAATTTCCATAGTATCACCAAACAGGGCCGTAACTAGGAATTTTTTTCTATGAGGCAAAAAACTGTTGTCTTTGAAGTCAATTATATCTTCCGTCACAACAAATTCGGGAGACATGAACAAATTATGTAAATATTAAAGAAACTAACTATATATTTAGCGGATATTGTATTTATATTTCTAATAAAAATGTCTTTTCTGTCAAATTCGGCATGGGGCATTTGCGTGGATGCAGTAACGGCCCTGCTATAAAAGAAAATAGAATGATTTACCAACATAACAATATGAGAGGGCCAAAGTGACATGTCCTCAATCAAGGTCAAAACGTGATGATTTCCTGCCTAAGCTTTGTTGGAGAAAGACGGGCGAAAGGTTGCGGGGATTTTATTTATTGGCTATATTAGGCCTTAGATGGATTCTGTTATTATTTTACCCCATACATAAAGTAGCCATAAAAATCATGTGTTTTAAAGCCGACCACAATTTATCGAAAGTAAGCAATTGTACATTGGTAGCTGGAATTGATCCAATAGGCATAATATCATTAAGATGGTCTGAATTTGTTTCAATTTCGTGGAGGCAAGGTGCGTAAAAAGACAATTTGAAATTTGAGAGCATCAGGGTGGTTCTTCAGTTTGAAATCTTTTTCCACATTTTACCATCATAATATTGAGCCAAAATGATATGCCCTTGATCGAGGTCACAACGTGATAATTTCCCGCCATATTCGCCATATATATACTATATTTTATAAGGCTTCGTTTGAGAAAGGCATGTTATGATTGTGGGGGGTTTATTTATATAGACTTAATACGGTTTCTGTTTACACATTCAATTTATATTTATATGGTTAAGTCGACCATCATAAATACTTTTTAGGCGGCCGAGGTGACATTATGCCCCCAACCAACGTGATAATTTCCCGCCATAATTTTGATTTTTATGTCTTTAGAAAGGCAGGATATATGGGGACTTACTTATAGGCTCTAATAACCCTTTAGACGGTTTCTGTTTTCACGTTTACACAATTTATCATTTATTATTATTTATTATTTATCCCCGGTTTCCCCTATATAGATCAGTTTTTTGTGACCGAAGAAAGTCAAAACTCAAAAACATCGTTTATAGGAAACAAAATATTCATTCATGGAATGTTAATCAACATAATAACAGATTTCAATACAGACTTTCTGGAAGCGACATGTGGGCAGTAAAACAATTAAGTTAATTTTCTAACATATGCGCAAAACCTAATTGATTAGCTTGTTTGGATTGCCTCATGACCGTATGTTACTATTCTTGCCTGGTTTACTGCGCAATGAAAAAAAAATATCCAGAATGTCCTTGTGCTAATATTGTAAGAACCATTACATTCAAACAGTATAGAAGATTAAAATGTTATAATGTGTGAGATATCGCAGTAAAAATCAATATCATTCATACGATTTTAACGAAATCTCAAACAAGAACACCTACATAGTGTATTGGCCCTGAACGTGGATAAATAATCAACTGAACAGTTTCAAGGGCACCCCAAAATAACGGTAACATACGGATATGGAAGAAAAGGTGTTAAGGGTGTGAAATTTTAATAGGGCTTTGATTGAAAGTTGAACTGAAACCTTTCTTAATTCAATTATTCGTTAATTATACACAAACAGCAAGCACGCGATATAACGAGCCTCATTCTGGGGTAACTAGAAACCTCTATATTTATAATAGGAAACACAAAGAGCACTGGGTACGAAAGTGCATTTTGTTTTGTGCATCGCAGCTGTGAAGGAGACGTGGCGGAGGTTGGATCGAATTGTTGATCCATTTCCCCCCAAAATAAGGACTATATTTACATCTAATGGGGGAATTTGGAGTGGAAACTACAACTGTGAAATCTTTATCACCAGTGGACTTTGATCAATTGTCAAATAATCAGTATTTTTTCACATCATCAGACCCTGTTCCCGTGAGTAAAATGCAAGATGACGCGCTACACGATAAGACGGCTGCAATTTCCAAACAAGCGCAGCAAATACCAGTTACGACAAACGGTTCTGAACATTACGATGAGGATTCTATGTTAAAGAAAATGAATAATGGCGTCTCAACATTTTCAGCCGAGGAAAAGCTATCACACCTCTCAAACAATGTGTCAACAGGGAATCAGGTGCGTGTTTCTGAAACGACCACTTCTGCTCCAACGACATTGTCGTCTGCTCAAGGGTATTGGTCCACTGCACCAGCAGACGACAGTTTTGTACAGGGCTTTCAATCTATGAATGGTACAGTCACATTTCAGCAGTTTTCTCCTTCACCAAACGCTGCTAATATATCAAACTTGTCGAACGTAATGTTTAATGCAGGGTATCCAGGACAGGTTGGTGTGAGTTTGGCACAACAGTCACATAATCAGAGGAGGGCAATTACAGCACATCATAATTTTCCACAGCGCCAACCAAACATAATGATAAACAATGGGAAGTCCTATCCAAATTGGAGCAATGCACCAGTTCAGTCATGGACAGGACAACAAAATCAGGCTACGCTTTCGCCATGGACTAATGTTCAACAACAGAGGAGGTCTGTGCCGAATATCAATTCAATGGGACCCATGAAAAAGCCTAATTTTCAGCAAGTTCCTAACATACAGCAGTCAACAGCCATGATTGCACCCACAAAGTTTCGAAGGAGTACATCGTTTCCAGGTCAAATCCAACAGGCTGCTATGGGAGTGAAACCATCTTATGATTATTCTGCTTTTGATGAATCAAGTCAACAGAGAGAAGGAGGAGTACCCTATCATCAGGTGAGTGGAATTATCAAAATTGGTACTGCTTCAAGTATTGTGCTTTTGATAGTTACTATTTCCTTTGATCTTTAATTGAAAAAGTTTTACATTTTGACAGCCAAAACATTGGTCACATACTTTCAAAAACTGCGCTGCGTAATAAGACTAGAATGGGGACAAGTATATGGACTAGAATATGGTACTTTATAGTTACAGCACAGTGTAACAATATTAAACAAACACTGTAATGGCAGGTGTGGATCTATTAATTAACTACAGTAGCTGAGCTGTCTATCTGCTCATTAACTAAGCTTCCATAACTTGGTTGTGGCTAATCTAGTCTTGATAAATAAGGTTGATTGAATTCTATAGGTTTCCATGTGTTGAAAACTATTTTTGAATCAATGAAATTATGTTTGTGAGGCCAGAATAATTTATTTATCTGATTTCCACAATCTCTCTTGAATTTGACAGCATTATTTGACAGCCTGAGTGATCAGCAGTATGAATTTGATTATTGACTTGCATGAAATTATATGGAATTATTCTGAAAATGTTGCATTCTTAATGGTAAAGATTTGAACAAAAAGGAGCAAATTACAAATTTATTTTTTTCTGGAAAGACAAATACTGTAGCTTTCATCTTCATAAACTGTTCTAATTAGATGTAACAGAGTACCTGTATTTGTCGTAGTCTTACTTTAAATTCATTGATTAAAGCCAGCAGTAGCAGCCAAATAAAAGATTCATATTTAATATTTATCGATCCAACTATGCAAGAAGGCATGAGACAAATCTTAATAATGAAATGTTATTATATATAAATCATTCACATAACAACAAGTCCAATATGGATGTTGAGTTGCCAAAATGAAAATATAAGGTCACATTAGACAAACGCTCAATATTAAACAATGTCAATGGCCTTAATGTAATGATAGATTAACATCAAACATGTATGATGTTATGATGAGCTGAGGAGAAGGTGATTGTCACTTGTCATGCAATAGTATTATACAAGTTCATACAGATATAGATTTATGGATATGAAAAGAGTGATTACTTTAAAGGGATAGTCCCATGAATATTTTTAACTTGATTTCAACACCTTATATAAGAATTATATCATCACTTTACAAAAATGTTATTGAAGACCGAAATTCTTAATCTTTACTGTCAGAACAGAGTTCTGTTGATGTGTACTCTCACCTGAAATTCTTTTTTTGATTCCCAAATTCATTGATAGATGCTTCAAAATACCTTTAATTGTGAAATGGCCATTTTCCTGATTCATTAAGAGATATGAGAGAAGCTTTTCTTTCCTAGTTTATTCAGCTTGTTGTGGCAAGGGTTTTGTTTTATAGAGGTCAAATTTCAAATTGACATTTCTCTTGTCATTTCACCAGACATGTCAGTTAGCGTTGTCTTGCAGGAATTAATTATGAGACAAGAAATGCTATTGTTCCAGTAAGGTACACTGCTGTTACTGTAATTTATTTTAATCATAATGCCTTTCTCTGGAGTTCCTTGTATGATGAATGATATTTAATTTGTAGTGATGTTTTTTTTTAATAGAATGAACGTCCGGCATCTTTTGACACAATGCGATTTCCAGCTTTAGAGAGTCAGTTATTGGATATAATGAGAACCTCTGCTATCGATGGTCAATTGCCTGATCATTTAAGAGGTATGAACTACTCTTTTTATTAAAGACTGTCAGATTGTAAATTCAGAAAACTGAACTGGTTTTATGGACCAAATTTCATATAAACTTACAGAGAAAGCTTACAATCTTATGCAGTGTTATAAATACTGATAATTAGATTACCGTACAAATATATTTTGGAAATGAAGTGCAAGTGATGCTGCAATGGAAATATTATCCTATAGGTAAAGAGTGTCAAATTGACATCCAATTGTCTGCATCTTTCATTCTTTTGTTTTTAATGTTAGTACATGTATTCTATCAATATATATCTAGTTACCATACAGATGTGTGAAATACAAATGGTCTTTTGTAATAATAATAATAATAATAATAACTTTATTTCATTGTGAATTAGCACAACTACCACACTATTTCAACAAATTCCAATTTTCATATTTTCTAGGAAAAACACAGTTCCATTTGGAAGAGAATCATTTAGTGGACGATGGATCTATTGATCAATCTGTTGGCAATTTAAGTGGATCTTTACGAGGTTCCCCTAATTCTCAGCCTGGTGTGGAACATTCAGAAAGATTCTCAAGAAAAGTGTTTGTTGGAGGATTACCTCCAGATATTGATGAAGGTAAGAGAGCTTACTTTTTTCATATGTACATTTCACGTTAAATTTTGTCCTATAGTATTATCTTAACGATTTCATGTCTAAAGTGCTTTCTGAAAGTGTAAATTAATATAATATTTTAGAAAGAACATTTGTGACACTTTTCTTCCTGCATATAACTGTCAAGCAAAGACATGATATTAACCATGAATATGAAAATTATCATGATTCAAATTCATGTTCAAATTTTGTGAATTAAACTTATATTCAGTTGATATACAGTGTCAGTGACATAAGATTGCCTTCAGCATTTTGCACTTTGATGAACTTGACAAAAATTTTCGAACTGCGTGGCTAAATTGAAGGCTCTAGGCTTTTAAATATCAATGATTACAGGATGTAAATTCATTGCTTTTTTTTCCAAAATTGGAATGGTTATCTGTGATCCATATAGTGTTGAAAGCACAAAAGCATAATTAAGGCTACAATCCCAGATATTTGGATATATTCAGTAACAACCCATTCATTGGAAGTCACAAGACAATTTATGTCAAAGAACAATCCTAAATTCCATTTTGTAAGCTTGAACCAATTATTATATTTTTTCAGAGGAAATAACAGCTGCTTTCAGACGTTTTGGACCTTTAGTGGTAGATTGGCCACACAAAGCTGAGTCAAAGTCATACTTTCCTCCTAAAGGTAGGTCAATTTCCTCTTTAGCTGATTTTGCTGTGTAAGTTGCAACTGTACCTAAAAAAAATCACTGATTTCCATAGATGAGCTCTTATGCATTGTAAATATAGCATATTCATGACACATATGAAAAGTAATTTACACACTTAATACCTATTTGTGATCACCAAATTTTTAAATCTGATGTTTTTATTTTTAGTGTTTGCTTCATGAACTTTCAAAAACATCTATGGCTTTCATTTTTAGACTGTAGTGTGAAAATCCAATTCCTTGCCATGCAAAATGAAGACTGATCCCAAATATTATTGTGCTGTTTAGAGAATAATGTCATTGACTGAGAAACTTAGCTGATGTGTGCTTTGTGATACAACTTATGGTGGGAATCCGTTACTTTTCATGCATTTGAAACTGCCATCAAAAATATCTGTAGGTGCCCTTCAGAGTTCATCATTATTTTGCAGGTTACTGTTTCTTGATATTTCAAGATGAACTGTCAGTACAGGCGTTAGTGGAGATATCTTTTATAGATGATGATAAACTATATTGGTGTGTCTCTAGCCCAACAATGAAAGAAAAGCCGGTAAGTTTTTTTTGATAATAAACCATATTTTATTCATAAATAAAAAAGGTAAGCTTCTTTATTTTAGGGAAATCTGGTGTGGCATATAGAGTTTTATGGTAATAAAAAGGCAGTTTTTGACACATTAGAATTTCAGAAGCCTCTCACGAATTAAATATATTAAGCCATGTTAAAATTAAAGGGACAGATGGGTCCTTTTTTTGACCATCATGCATTAGTCTCAGAAATGGGACCTTTTTTTAGCTGAGCCAATCAGTGCTAGTGTTCACAGCTCAGTCGAAATTTGAGCCATCAAATCCATGTGTGTCTAGAATTATCTGCGTTTGAATGCTAAAATGTTGACTCATCATTTTAAGATACTCTGTGATATATGGATAAGACACATATAGAAATAATGAGTAAAAATCCTAATTTTGAAGTATTTTTAAAGGAACTATGCGATTTTCATAGATTTCTAGTACTTTTCAAAACTATTTACATATATTCAAGACTAAAATCAATGCTCCCCCTTCAAAATGCCCACATCTGTTCCTTTAACTTTAGAATCCTAATTCTTAACTTCCCATATATTTTTTAGTTTCAAAATAGATGGATTAATTGATCCTCAAAACACAAACTGTTATCAATCATACTTGTTTTCTAGATAATGTAATGATGTTATAAGCCATTGTTTTTGTCAAGTCACTAGAATTTTGGCAGCAGGTGGCAATGGTCTGTAACTGACTTTTTGATATGACAGTAATTGCCAGTCATGGCTGGCTTTCTTTCAATTAACCAGCTGTGATCAGTAGATTATAAGATATATTTTTGATGAAAATAAGCCATTATTTAGATGAACTTGATCATGTTCAATATGAAAATTGCCTTGATGTCAAAATTTAAGCTTATAATTAACTGAAAGTTCAAAATAACCCTCAATGTGTATAACAAAAACCCCAACTTAGTCAGAAAATTGTTGTTTTTGGGATGTCTAACAAAGATAGATAGTATAATTATGTGGGTGACCAAATTAATTAATATTCATAAAACCAACCCTTTTACTGACTGTGACCAATATCTGTTTAAATTCCCTCACATTTTGGACTCAACAGTTTTCCAGTTTGTATTGGCCATATTTATCTTTGCTATTACAGTCTAGTATGGAAATTTACATTACAAGGTTGATACTATATAGGTTAAATCTGTAACACATGTTTACTACTGTACACAATCAATATATCTTCATTTTATCACTTTTGTTATTCTCTATATGGCTAACTATCTTGCTTGTTAACCTTACAGTTTGTTTTCATATTTCTGATAATAATACACAATTCTGCTCCTATCTGAGCCCCTCTATCAGGTCAAATGCACATTCAAGGACATTTCATCAGGTATTACGAAAGGCAAATGGCATACCACACTAACTTTCTACAATGTCATATGAAAGTCACGTTTTCTCACTAATCAAGTCTTTTGAAGGTTTGTCTAATCAAGTCTACAATTTTAATTTGCATCACAATATGTATAGCATCGATTATTCTTGAAATATAAATTAATCAGTGGCTTCCTTTAAATTTAATTGGAGAATTTAAATGAATGTCTTGGTATATTTGTTATTGATTGCACTGTGTAGGATAGTCCTGACACGATATATCAGAGAATCGATGTATCAAGATAGAACATGCCACAATATGCATATTGTATCACAAGGTCGTGTATCAATACTTGAAGATACCAGCACGAGTTTAGAGGAGAGGGTGTGGAGGCCATAGTCATCAAATATGCTATCTTCGTTATTATTGTCGTATGCAAGAGAGACTGCCATCACCCAATCATTTTCCTTTCAATTGCATGCTCCACACATGATTATTGACAAACCACCGACTGGAGACAAAAATCCCTGACCGAGACCTTTCGTGTGTTCACACTATTAGACATTGATATGGATTGTCAGTTTTAGTTTGTCTTGGTTTTCGGGTTTTGTTTTGCTATTCAGATCGATGTTTTTTTTATTGAAAATATGTATATGAAACTGAAAGACTAAATAAAAGCAATTTTGAGTATCAATTGTTTTGTATAGATCTCATAATAAGCTTACCAATGTCAGCTGCCACTGTCCGAGACTAGAGTTAGTGGGGTGAAATAACTTGTTGAATAAGTGTATAATTTAAATCATTCTTTTCCTGGAGATAATAGAGAACATGTCTGGTCTTCTCTTAATTTAATACATATAATGAAATTTTTTAAAGCTTATTACATTGTTCTGTCTGTGTCATACATTTTTATTTACTTGACTTTCCATAAGAATGTTTATTGCCATGTGATATCATGGTTAAGGAGTACCACTTCCTCCCAATATCGCGATTATATGGCTTCCCCAAGCTTTGAACACTAGTTTTTATTGCAAGGTCAGCATTACTAGAAGCAATTGCTAATGCTATCATATGATATACCTAAGTATACTAAGGGGTTGTGATGATCAGACTATGTATTTTAATGTAGGTTTATGCAATAGTTAAAACGTGTAATAATGATAAATGATTTACCTGACTTTCTTATCAGAAGCCATTTGTATCATGGTTGTTTACAGCGGCATATCACTGCCCCCTACCATCTTTAAAACATGATTTAATTTGGCACCCCAATTTGGCTCTAAACTCTGGTTTTGATTGGAAGGTTAGCATAACACCAATTTTTTAAAAGCCAGTGCCAATGCTATCATATGATGTACTTGAAGTATACCAAAGGCTATGACGAAACTGTGTGTCTTAATGAATGTTTATACAATAGTTAAAAACATGGTCTATGTAAATTGCAAGAATGGTTTTACATTGTTAACTAATATTGATAAAGTACACTATATTTTGAAGCTTTTGAATACTCCACATTATAGGAATGTGGCATAAACTAATGGTTTATTGTTTCCTTGAGTGTAAGTACTATGGTAACTGTTTTAAAGGAAGTTGCATTTTCCTGTCTGCCTGTTCCTACATAATACAGAATCTTATGATTTCCATGTGACTTTGCTATGCAAACATGATGAAGTCTATTCTAGTAAACATTATGCATTGCATAAATCTAAAATATGAGAAAATGACTCTAAAAAATTTGACCTGAAATTGAGTCAATGTACCCAAATTGATTGGAATTTACCCTTTTTCAAATGTAAGATTTTTTGTTAGCCACATACTAAGATCTCCATAGGATAGGATTATCTAGACAGGGAGATGTATTACAGATAATGAATTGAAATATAGAGGACAAATTGAACGTAACAATCTGTCTGGTACAATATTGTGAAATATTGAATTTTCTGACAGCGACTGTACGACAAAATTGTCTTTCCTGTTGGATTATTATTTCAAACGCTTCAGATGCAATATGGCCATAGCTGGTATTAATTTCTAAGGGTCTTTGCGATATAGATATCATAAAACTATATCAGCATGAACTTCAGACATCTGGTTCAAAATTGGAATGGTACAAATCAATGCTACTGGCGTCCCCAATACACATAAATGTCAATTACCAATCCAAATATGGATATTATAGGATGAGCTTTTTTCTCAGATTGTTTTGACATTATAAGCTATGTGGACTCTCTGATAGGGATTGTCCAGTTGACAATTTTGTCTCAGAAGTGAACCAGGTGTAATTATTTACAAAAGCACTAAATCGTCTGCAATTGCCAATGGATAAATTAGAACCCTTTTAAACTCGTTTTAGGCAAATTCTATATAATTGAGAGAGAAAATGCAAAATAAAACATATAGAGTTTGAAAGTTTACAACGGTGTTTCGCATTGTCATCATTAGATTAAAAAAAAAAAATAGATTCATCTTGAAAACATTAGTTGTAATGAATAATACAGAGAGGCTATGATAAACGAAAGTTTAATTATTGAATGAAATATGTTAATTTGATATTCAAAGTCCATAACAGACAGATCAACTGTAAAAATATAATGATTTCATTATGAAATATATGGTCTGATATGGTTGAAAATAGCTCAAAGCTGTTAACAGCACAGGGAGTGGCTTGTTGCCTAGAGTCATTTCTATTTCTAGTTCTTGTGCAATATTTAGAATGTGTAAATTTTCTATGGTTGAAGCAGGAAACAATGCTATATGGAGATGCTTCATGACTCTTTTATTAGTTAAAGGACTGGCTTGATTGGCCTGAATCTATACAAATCCCATTTTCTGTATATAGCAATTTATATATAGCTCTATATATGGCATTAATTCTGTTTTTTAGCTTGGCCATCTTTATAATGATCAAGGTAATGCAAACTGCATCTTATACCTTCGATAGTCAACTTTCTTCTTTTAGGGAATGCAAAATGTAAAATCACTGTTTCACACGAGGGCAGACCTCGTTAACGATTTGATTGGTTAGATTCATTTTGTTTTGATATAAGAATAGGCAGTGAGCCACACTAACAGTGACAAGAGCAAAGAAGCATTTGGTTGCGGGCCGCATTTCCTTCAAATTTTACATGACGCCGCGGGTCACATGAAATCATCTCGTGGGTCGTAGGTTGCACAGGCCTGGGCTAGATCCATCCAAATCTCTGCATAATTTACAAACTTCCGCATTATCTGAAAGGTGGCTATTAAAGTCAAGTTAAAAGACAAATTTCGATATGGCTTGACATTGTGAAGATGTAGAAAGGCGGGCAAAATTAACAGTGTAAATTTGAGTATTTTTGCATGTCTTTTCATAGTTTTGTATGACAACTTTCTCTCAAAGCAAAAACAGGTTTTCTCACATAACATATGTGTCAGAAACACTTACATTTTTAATTTGCACCTTTTCCAGCGGACATTTGCAAAGAAAAAAGTCTTATTTACCTACTTTTGTAGCATTAATTATGACAACTTTTGGTTCCTGTTGGACAAAATGTGATTTAAAGAAGAATTTTGTGAGATTAATGAAGTGTAGTAAATGGCAGACAATTACAGAAAAAGAATTATCTGAATGTTTTGCCAGTATGTTGTTTGGATTTCAGGTTTCGT